ACACCCGAAAAGCGCAAACAACAAAAAAGACCAGACAACTAAAAAAATAAACACTCTTACCCTCGTGCTGTGTCTCTTCTGAGTCAATTATGAACTGGAAACAAGCCGTTGCTAGATTCTTACCCTGAAACCCTTAGCCCCTTAACGCCTAAATTCCAAACCCAGGTAGGCGTCGGCAGCCTTCACGGCATTCATTTGATGTGTGAACTCCCCTTCCAAAGGCCTGCTTCCGTTTCTGAGCCGCATGACGTTTGCCAGCCTGGTTGGCATGGCAGTGGGCAGGTGTGGAAGTGAGGGCCACTTGCCGGACTGGAAGCTTTAGAGAACTGGGATTCCGTTTTGACCTCTTCAGCTCATCTTACCTCGTTTGATCCTCAGCATGTCTATGGAACTTTCGATACTTGCCTCGGTTGCAACTATGTCCGGGAGGCTTGGTTGGGGTGGAGTGTCAGGCCCTTGGTTTCTCAATGTAAAACTATAGGACAGCGTGAAATGGCAAGCTGCCAAGCTCGGTGGCCCCGATATCTTGGATTCGGCAATCCTAAGGGCACTGCTCAGAACTGTTTGTGATCGTAGTTCAGAAACCTCTTCAATTCTCTGCACACCATAGATGCCTGTCTGTGTTTAGCATATGTTCCCTGCAATGGCCACCCGGCAAGAATCTCTTGGCGGCATTTCAACCCCATTCGGGGCCCTACCATTCTTTATAAGTTGTATTTCATCTGAAGATCAGCCCTGCATTTCCCCATCCTGTAGTGGCGCCTGTCCAGTTGGAGCTCCAGGGTGCCTAAGGCACACAGTCTACGGATCATTTTCGCACGGGGTTTGCAAGGAATGCTGGTTGAGGTTCCGAGTATGTACATGGCGCTTGCGGTGAGCACACTTTGAGCCTAGTCCCGTTAAACTCCAAACAAAAACCTGAAGAGCCAAATCATGACATCCGAGGACAGAGGCAGATCATGCAAGAGTTTGAGCGCTTGCGTGCTTGATTGGCTGAGTGTGCAGAATGGTGCCCTCAGGACACATATGTACCAGTCTAGTCTAGGGTTTCAAAAGCCCAAGAAGCCTGAGTTATCCCCACAGTACCCCAAGCACATCATGCTTTATAACCGGGGGCTCCGCCCCTACTCGGTGTCAAGATGAGGGTCCTGTGCTAGCAGTGCGGTTTGAGTTGCAAATTGGTGAGACAGTGAGATGTGCGCGGTGGAACACAGAAGAGAGAGCCTCAATGACCTTTGAGTTGCCCGTGAAGAAATTTTCAATCCCGCCGGACCTGTGTCTCACAGAGAATATTTTTTGATGGCACGGTAATTCGGATATGCAATATCCGTGTGACGTAGGTTCAGCGCGTGTGGCACCAGTTTGAGATGCGTGGCATTCCAGGAAGGGCTCCGTTGCCCTGCTGGGGTGCATCGCTACAGTCTTGGCGGAAGCGCCGTGTATGCAACAGGTAGTTTGAAGGTGGGTATGTCAAGACAAAATTCTGGGATGTTTCCACTCTTGGCTCCTGTTCACCGCTCGAGCTGACGGCTTGTCCGCGAAAGGGCGGGAGATGGGTCAGAGGTAAGAAATCCAAAGAACTGTAGTGTGTCATACTGGTCATTGAACTTTCAACGGGCATCCGTTTCGGCCGCTCTGCTCTAGTCCACGTTGTGCCGAGCATCTGCGTCGTAGTCGTGGGCTAGATTGCAGTCACAGCTGCTGTGTGTTTCGAGTTCCGACGCAAACCGTCTTCAGCATGTTTTTTTTTAGCAGGCTCTTCGAGGGAGTTTTTTTGGCATGCTGGCATGTGCGTGCGGGATCTGTGCTGTCTCACAGAGCATGCTACGCAAGCTCAGCCTTTCCGTTCCAGTGTGTGGTGCGCACATTCACTCTGTCGTTGAGGGCCCCACTTGCTGTCCAAGCACATGTTCGTAGAAGCAGGGAAGTGCGTTTGTTTAGCATTGTTTCAGCTTTTGGAGACTCGATGTTGCTAGCGAGCAAAGCTTACTTATGCCTGCTTCCCTCTGTGAAGCCAGCGCAGCAGTTCCGCATGTCCCCTTGCTTGTTGCAGGCAGAACCCGCGAGCAGTACTCTGCAGGTCCCCATTACCCTCGAATGGCGTTTGGGCCTCTGTAGCACGCGCGGATGTTTTTCGCTCAATGACAGGCCCTGCAAAGCAAGGACCGCCGGCAGATCTTCAACAACAAAAGAAGCGAGCATTTTGAAACGGCGCCGCGGCAAGTCAAGGGGTTCCACCTGATGCGAGACAAGCGAGTCACTTGATGTTGGGACCTTTTGGAGACATGCCACGGCAGCTGTCGAGACCGTGATGTGCTTCAGTGTTATAGCAAGTCGACCAACACAAAGGTTGGAAGTGCAACACGGTTCAGTGCGTCAGTGAGGCGCGGACGCTTTCAGAAAGTTGGAGGAGTCGATGACCGTCCGAATGATGAGCTTGACTCTGATAAGGATTTGCTCCCGGCCTCGCTGCCTCCAGATATCTTCAGAACTTTCATGGTATGCCAGGCCATACAGGGCAGTTGGAGCTCCGGGCCACATCTGGCACAGAAACCTCTAAGGCATTTCAACATGGCTCGTCTCGAACCACTGCTCCTGAGATGTTGCTTCACTTTCCCTGCTCTTCGCGCAAGGCAATTTATATTGCCTGAAGTCAGGGTGCGAGTCCAATCAGCCGTTTGCATAATTCGCATGCTCCATTGGCAGCGTGTGGGATATCGCAATGATCCCCCGCGTTTCAAATCCGAGTCTTTCGCAATCTGCCCAGGTTCCACAAAACTATCCAGCAAACAGAAAGAGCACAACACGCCTTGTTGCCGTGTGATACCTTTGGATTAGGGTCTATACATGCTCTATACGGTCACATATCTGCTGTGGGGCTACAGTGCAGTTGCAGGCTCTTGGCATTCCGAGTAATGATGTCCTCAGTAGCTCCCCATCGCGCCTGCGACGGCAGCTCTTACCGCAACGTGGTTTTTCTGCTGATGTGGGAATTCTGTCCGAATTGGGGCTCACAAGAAAGACCCAAATAATCAGAGCCATATATCCCAAGCACCCGTGTTCAGGAACCAATACGCCCCAAACCATATCCAACCCTAGCTCCTGAACCCGAACTTTAAAGACCTTATTTGCATGGATGTGGGGACCGAAAGACTTCACAAATACTGTAGGACCCTGTAGGAAGCTGAAGACTGTAGAAGATAATCGTCTCATTTGCGTCACCGTAGAAAGTGTGCCTTGAACGAACCCAATTCCAATCATGTAGGACTATACTCACAATTCTGTTGTTGCGTTGCCATCCGCGGGCTGCGCTTTAGACATTTGGCCGACTGCAAGGCATCCGGCTTCCCTCCTTGTGTCAGAACGTGTTCAAATCAAATCGGGGTCCCCTTTTTCGGGTTCCATTTGATAAGGGCTGCTAGTACTTCGGGTAAATACCGGGGACACCCTTTGGGAACACCTGACTTCCTTGGCTGTCGCAGGTCGAAAATGCTGCGGGTACTGCATCATTCCAAAATAAAGTGGCCCCTATGCATGAAGCAATTAGCTCACTTCTGCCTGAGTCAGATGCCATTTCCATATGTTGTTCACCAGGCCACATAATCTTGCTGGGCTTTTGCAGTACTCGTCGACGCATTTCGCTCAATGGCCCCTGTGACGTCAAGACCCACCTGAAAAGCTTCTAACCTTTCTCTGCGGTCGAGAATCGAGAAAGCTGCCTGCAACAGATGCTGGGGTAGCTTCAATTCAGGGTGCGAGAGGGAATTGCATGACTTCCTGTAGCTCCAGAGTAAGATGAGTGATCGTAATCATGCGTTTGATTGTTCTGCTTGAGCATGAGCCTCTATCAGTCACATCAAGAAGCTACGGCCTGCTCAGCCTGTCTCCGATACTCATGACTTGGAAGGTGTATTTGGAACTAACAGCAAAATTCCTTGACCCAACGCTGGGAAACTTAGTTTACAATGTAGGCATCTGCCCCACACTGCAGATATCTACCTGCAAGACAAGGAATTACACTCCAACACTCTTCTCTCCAAGACGTGCGGCCTCGTCAACAGCATGTTTTGGCTTCATGTCGAACATCCAAAACATTGGGCCCCTTTCAGTTGGGACTTCAATTTGATTCGTGGGCCCAGGACCTGCGGCTGATGCAGAAGAAGCAGAAGGACTTGGAGGTGTGAAGAAGGGCCGGGTCTAGTCTAGGGTACATAGGGATTACAGGGACTAGGATGTCGAGGATAAGAGTGCGGCATCTAGTGACAAGGGTCGCAGACGTGGAGTTGTGAATGTGTAGATGGAGTTCAACGCCATCAACCCTGAGCCTCATATCCCTAAAAACTTCACAAAACCTGCACCCTTATCTATGCCAAATCCTAAACCTAAAGAAAGGGCCTAGAATTTCTACATAATTCCCCAAGGCCTGGCCCTATCATCCCCACAACTCAGCACACACGATAGTGTCATAGAGGCCCGTACATAGATGAACCAGCTTACCCTGCTATCCACTTCTTGATAAGCCAAATTGTTCAAGTATCTATATAGCATTCTAGACACTTTGAAGCCTAGTCGTTGAGCATGAGTACTTGGATCTTAAACCCTAACTCCTGCACCCAAACTCTACACTGTCTACACTGTGACTTATTCGTTCACTTGGACCTTACACACTAACGAATCTTTGCCCCTCGATCCTACACCCTAACCCCAACATTTAGGCAGTTTGAATACTTGGATCTTACACCCTACATGAAATCCTACACCCAAACCCTCTAGTGTCTGCTTGCCTGGAGCTTACAAAATAAGTCCTACACCCAAACCCTATACTATCTGCTCACTGGGAACTTACGAGGTAAATCCCACACCCAAGCCTTATGCCATTTGCTTACTTGGAACTTATGAAGTAAATCCCACACTTGGAACTTACGAAGCGAATCCTACACCCAAAGCCTGTATAATCCGCTTACTCAAAACTTGCGAAGTAAATCCTGTACACCAACCCTGTACTGTCTGCATACTTGGAACTTAGGAAGTGAATCCGACACCCAAACCCTATACTATCTACTTGCTTGGAACTTACAAAGTGAATCCTACATCCAAATCCTGCATACTATCTGCTTGCTTGGAACGTACGACGTAAATCCTACAGCCAAACCCGATATACTATCTGTTTTTTTGGAACTTACGAAATGAATCCTACACCCAATCCTATACATACTATCTGCTAGCTTGGAACTTACGAAGTAGATCCTACAGCCAAACCCGATATGCTATCTGCTTATTTCGATCCTACAAAGTAAATCCTACACCCAATCGTATACATACTATCTGCTGGCTTGGAAGTAATGAAGTAGACTCTGCGTATTTGGACCCTACACAAATCCTATGCCTTAACCCTGATGACATACTTGGCTCTCTCAGGGTTAGGCCTGAACAGCTTGAACTTGGATTTCACGGCTAGACAGTGCTTCAAAGGCTATCCACCTGTGGCCGCGAAATCCTCAGCCTCACCCCGTGCCATACACGCCTAACCTTTAATCTTAAACCCTAAGAGCGAAGTCCTCAACCATTCACCGTAGATTTCCTAAATGCTTCAGACCGTCAGGCCATGGCCAGTGAGAGGATGGCGAAGGCAGCCATCAGCCGCTGACCCTGAAGACGTGCAGGAATTCTTGGGGACCCCTGTACCCTGCAAGCAACGACCGAAAAGGGATCAATGAAGACTACTGTCCTTTTCGGAGGGACTGCATGACTGTTCATGTTCTTGGGAGGTTAAGAATTTGAGGTCAAGGGTATATGTTTACGGCTTTCTAGTGCGGGCTTTGTTTGTCTTATGTCAGGGTTTTTTGGCATATATCAGGGTTTAGGATGGGAGTTTGCCTAAGGATTAGGATTTAGCTTGGGGGTCACATTCGTTTAGGCCTTGGCTTTGATAGCTAGGAGTTTTTGAGTTGATATTATACGGTTGGCAGGCGACTGCTCAAGAGGGACACCAATATCTGGTTTCCTTGGAGGTTCATCGGCAGTTACACATGGGTTATGGGTTATAGTTGGAACTAGAAGATCTAGTAAACCGAATTTAGGGTTCATATAAGCCCATGTCTAGCCATGGCATAGGGCTCAGAGTACCGGACGTGCTAGTTGCTGCTTGAGCTGGGTGACCCTTAAACTCTGACGGTATGGTGCTTGAAGGTGCACGGGTAGCCAGAGAGCGGTTGCAACAGCAAGTGGTTGCAACAGCAAGTGGGGAAAATGATGCTGATAACCTGAGTTAGGATACTCATATCTCCGGTTAGAGTTACCCAAAACATTAAATCCTGAAGCAATCCCACTTTGCTGACCATCAGCCTTCAAGCAACGCTGATGACCCTTCAGCACCAAATTCAAAGTTTCTGATAAGGGAAAAACGGTTCAACCTTCTTTGAGCAAACGGCAGCGATCCCTCCTGACCGCGAGCCAGATGGTTAGAGCAACTTTTGCACATGCACCTTGAAGGGTCCTGTGTCAGGTTAGTGATTTTGTGTGTTTAATTTTGGCTGGAGTAACCCGCCCGCGTCGTGGGTGTTCAAAGTCATGCTGATCAGCACCGAACGGAGATTGCCCAAAGGGTCCAAGCATCTACATAGTATATCGTTTGGGCCTGAGGCTGACCGAAATCACGACCTCCAAAAAGCTGTACCCTGTCATGTAGGTACTTGGGACTCTTAGGGTTGCATTGGCTGGATTACGGCGACGTCACTTGACGTCCTTCCTCTTTATGGTCATTAGAGATGTCACTAAATTGAAGGGTCTAGTGCTTCCACATGTGACTACACCTGAACCTTCAAGTAGCCGCATCTGGAAGCGGCTTTCTTCGGAGTTCTCCTTATGCGACTGCTTCTCAAAGCAAGGTTCCCCTATGTACCATCTAAACCACTGACGCCAAATTATGCAGACACTTGGAACCTGGATCCTAAACTCCATACCCCAAGTTCGGAACCCTACATCCCAAAAGCCAAAGCCTAGGCCCTCAGCCTTTGGATCCTCCTGGTCATGGCAAGAGCTCAGGTCAGATGAGCGGCGCCTCTCTCTCAGTATGCATCCTTCAGTGGCGTGCCTACACGAAGGCCTGGCTCTTCAATCGCTACCAGGTGTTGGTAGGTTAGCTGGTAATCTCGAACAGGTCACGATTCTCCCGAGCACCAACCACTTGAGGCTCCCGAAGGTTCCCCAGGTACTGCCCCTCACTTAGGTGCGGAATGTACACGACGCATGAACCTTCAGCTCGATTACAGGGTTCAGGGACGGTCGTTTTACGGAAGCAGTTGGGCTCGTGGGCTATGCACATCCTTTTGGAGGTTTGGGGCCGAAGGGAACAGAAGCATCCGGGCAGGAGAGCAAGCAAGAGCGGAGAGAAGCTAGCAACTCAGATCCCTGCTGGGAGGCGTCTGGCTCAAATAAGGATACACGTACTTCTAGTGATATTTATCTTACTTCTGGCCCACATTAGTACAACTTTTGAACCTCAGCATGAGAACCTGGTCTTTCTGCAAGTTCAGCGGCAGGATCCTGCTCTTTTGTGCTGGAGTGAATGTAGAAGTCTTACTTGTCACAGGAAGACAGTCGTCCCTGCCGTACCCTTCTTTGAGCATAACATATTTGCAGTGGGCCGCAAATTCATCATTCGTTTTTGTTGCTGGTGGTAGAGCCTTAAGTAGGAAATAGTTATAGGCTCCAAAATTGTGTCATATGTAGAGGTTAGGGCCCAAGCATCCAATATCATAGGCTGGGAGCGAAGCATCCAATATCATAGGTTGGGAGCGCTAAAGCAAGAGCAGCCAGAAGAGCTGAGAATTTTGCATTACCTTTCCCCCGCAGAGGCGTTCCGTGAAGTGTGCATTGTTGCGGTGCTGGGTGCTGACTTCCGTGGTCTCTCAGATTGAGATGACGTTCTCCGTGGCTTCAATCCTCACCCATTCCCAATTCTGCAGGTAGAACATGGGTGCTGTTTGAAACCTGACCCCTCAACAGCAAGCTAAGTTGGACCAGCCGGCAGGCTTTGCCCAAAACAGGGGAAGGCTCCTCGAGGCCAAAACCCTACCCTGCATCCCTGCATCCCTAAGCCCTATACCCCAAGTGAAAACTCCAAGAAATCCTCAAGAGTTACCTGGTCCTCTGCGCCGAGCTGAGGCCGAGATGCGAGACCAGCTACAGGAGGACTCTGCTTCCCTTAGGGTCTGTTTTTTCACACCTCAAGGCTTCGCTTAGTCTTTTGCCAAGCCCCATGCTCGAGAAATCTTTACATTCCATGGCGCCCAACACACGCAGTCCTGAGCCTGAAGCCTGTTGATGCCCTTTTTCGGATGCTCTTGGGTACTTCTCTGAGGCCTGCCGTTTTATTCTTACCCCGAGCCCCAAAGACCCCAAACCGTAAACCTACAACTCGATCTATATTGATTATAGTCAGTTCCCCAGAACATGCAGAGAACGCAGGGGCTTTGTTTGGTGAAGGAAATCCGACGGCAGAAGCGGGAAGCCGAGAAACTCAATGCAGCTTGGCTCTGATAAGACAACTTCTCAAAGGTCCCTGAAGGGGAACCCCTATACTCCCCACTTAACTTCGTACCCACGCATACGATCCCCAAGTATCTCGTGGCGCTTAGACAAGGGCCATTTTTGAGAAGTTCCAGAAAGTAGCCTGAGGACATTTATAGTGCTTATGACTTGGGTGGAGAATGAGGTGCTGAGATGTGGGAAGGCTACAGCCAGAAACTTCAGAGAGGACTTGAGCACGTGCTGTGCGGAAGGTTTGCTTTGGATTGGGTAAGCTGGCTTGTTTTAGAAGTTCCCAGTCATATTCAGGGCGTTCTCCAGGTGGATTGCTTTCTTGCTTGGGGCTCAGCCAGGACGTAAACGCGCAAAATCAGCGTTCCGGCCGGAGCCCTTCGCGACTGTCCTACGTGGGTCGAAATGCGAATTCCAGCACTCCGAAGCCTCAAAGTCACCGGTGCCGGCAAGGATCGCGCGGCCTAGACATTCCTCCGTCCAAGCTTCGTTCCTATTGGTCCAAGCTTCATTCCCATTAGGCCAGGCTATGCCCCATTGGCCCCAGCTACGCTCCCATTAGTCGAAGGGTGTGGGAGTTCTGATTTATTTTTATCATTGCCCCTTTGTTCCAAGCTACTTTCCCATTAGTCCAAGGTTCATTCCCGTTAGACCAAGGTTGTTTCCCATTAGTCCAAGCTACGCCCCATGAGTCCAAGGGTGTGAGGGAGTTCTGATTGTATTTATCACCGCCCCATCAGGCCTAGCTTCCCAGTACTCCCAGCTATTTGTACACGGTGATCATACGGGGACCAGAGCACCCCTGCCCAAACCATAATTCCGTTCATGTTCTAAGAGCGCCTTCCACTGAAAAGCAGAGCGCGTCGTGCAGAAACCCTACGAACAATGAACAATCACACTTTGGCCCAAAATGACCCCCAAAACGGACCATGCAGCGCACCTGGCTAGTCATCCCTGAGGGCCTCATGTCCTGCACGTGCCACTCTATCTTGCATTTGTCCTCTTGCACTAGTCGCCCGGGCTCGCTTTTACGCCCAGGCCGACCCGTGTTTGGGCATAATTGTGCGCCCCAGCATTATGCAACCACCCCATCCAGTCTTGGCATGATTGTCCTGCAGACCCATACCTTTCCATCACTTGAGCTGAGGATGCCAAGTCCCGGCAGATTGCCTTGAACATGGTCAGTGCGGGCCTCGAGTACTCGCGGGCAAGGGTTTGGCCCTAGACCTCTTTGCCATCCCCTGATGACCTCTTTCAAGGCTGCCGTTTTACTATTGGTAAGATCAAGATGGTTCTTAGCAGTTGGTGGCAAACGGACAAACTCTCACATGAGTGATATTTCCCCTGTTCGCGAGGCCTTGGTCTTACAGTGTCCCCCAGGTCCCCATGGCAACGGCTTTTATTCTTATATCGGCCAGGTTCTTAAATAGCTTTTTGTATATGGCGAACTCCTCCGTGCCTCTATGATGTGCAGAGGTTATTAAAGTGGTTCGGAATAGGATATTACGGAATAGAGCGAACTTTTGCGCGGTAAGGATGAACAGCAAAGCAGAAACGGAATAATGGCATGCTCTACAAGAGTGCTGCCTTTTGAGCCCTCCCATGTTTTACAACTTTAAGCTGATAAACCTTCGTTGTCTGACTCGTCTAGTTGTTTGGATTGGGGGGATTTTTCTATCAGGGCCCACCTATGTAAGCCTTGTATAAACACATAAAAATCTTAACTTTAAACCGCGAAACTTCGTGTTCATGATGCTTCTAGAGGTTTGTCCCTTTCAGGCTTTGAGCGCAACAGCACCTTGTCCGTGTGCATTGTTGCGTGGCGACAGGCGACTCAGGCTGGGGTGAAGTATGTATGGGGTTCAGGGTTAAGGGCTTGCTGGCGTCAGGATTGAGCGTTCAAGGTTAAGGTTGTAGGGTTCTGACGGATGATCTAAGCCTAAGCCACGCATTCGGAAGCTAGGTTTCTGTGGTACAGCCTGAGGGGTTCGGATTCAAGGGAGGTCCCAGGCTGCTAATCAGGAAGCATTTGCTGGCAACTGCAGGCACAGCATCCGCGCCCATTCAATTCCTAGGACCATGTCGGATGGGACAAGTCATGGCGACCTCACCCCACCTCAACCCAAGTGGCGAGCTACATGCAGTTCGGGTCGTATTTTACTGGCTTCTCTAGTCGTAGACTTGGGATTCTATTCTTCAATGCCCATATCTGCTCTGTTCCTTGTAGTCTTGGGCAGTCTTGGCTTTGACAGCAGGCTGCCTATCGTGTCTAATCGTTTCCAAACTGGCCATTGAAGAGTGGGTTCACGATCATCTTGCAGTCTTGCGCTGAGCTGCAGCTGCGGGACATGGAAGTATGAAATCTTTCCACATCCAGAGGGAAGTTGCCAACGCATGTATGCAATCTGCAAGCCCTTGATTGTCATCACGTTATTGTGCCTCAAATTCCAAACCATAAGCCCTCAAACCCACGACCTAAACACTCAACCTGAAAACCCTGAATCCCAAGCCCCAAGCTCAATCTTGGTCCACTTGATCAGGCTGCAGTGAGAGAAGCAGAGGAGGCAGGGCTCCTTTTGTTCTTGCGCTTTACGGCTTAAAGCTTCCCAGGTGGGAAGGTGTCCCAAAAGCCTGTAGTACATGGCTTTTGATGCTGCTTTATGTTTCAGCGCGGGCCACTCTTGTGCAGAGGACCTTGCGAGCGCAGACTTCTGTTGTGCTTGAGGCGTTTCAGTCCAGGTTGGAATCGCGACTGCCAGAGCGAAGCTTTTCAGCAGTGGATCGAACTTCTTTGATCTGGAGAGTCTTCGGACCGAGGGACGCATCTAGGAATTCCAAGGACACAAATATTATGTGTACCCCTCAGGGATCATATGGAGTTTCTTTGACAAAGCCCCAAATGTTCAGCAATATATAATATTGGCATTGTTACCTGCATGCAAATCGAAGAAGGATGCGCCCCGCTAACATCGCATCTCTGTGTACAAGCCCACATATCATCATGGTGGCGGAGGCGGTGGCGGTGGCGGCG